CCGTGGGATACTCATCAGAGACAGAAAGGAAATCTACCGCCGAATACAGGCGTAAACGGCGAAAAGAGAACTGAAATCGACCACCGTAGACAACGGCTTTGTCTTCATTGGTTGAAGCAAAATATGTAGGTCACAGCTAGGACTGTGTATCCACAGAAACATTTAAAAACTCCTTTATCCCACTTTCGGTCAGAGTGTTAAAAGGTCTCATCGAGAGATACATAGGAGTCTAATTCATAAAGCCCGGTTTGTGAATGTGTATATGTTTCGTGTGTGAATGTTGTTCGTAGTTGCATCAATATCGTTATTGTTACAGTAGCTACGCTGAGCTGGTCTCTTGCAGTCAAACTGAATTTCTATTTGATTGGACCAATACAATTATCTTCTTATCTTAAACATGTAGACGAACAAAGAAACATTATTATGTTTTGTTATGTTTCATAAGTGCCATCAGAGTTGGACCTCATTCACCAATCGTAAACAAACAACATTTAGCCACGTGATTTTCTATCTCTTCTATACAAATTAAGATCTAATTTTAATTAACAATGGTTATCACGTGACAGTTTTTTTTCGTTGTTTTATCAATATTATCACATGACCGTTCTTTTTTGGTGAATGAGGTCAATTGATAGCCATTCATTCACTGCGTATTAAAGTAATGTTTCTGTAAGTCTAATAAAATATTCAACACCACGAATCTCATTTTCAGAACATCTTTTCATGATCTTGTGTCTAGTTGCAGCCGATTGACCCATTCAGTAATATTGAACACCAGTGTCTGTGTTGGAAAACAATATCACATAGTATGTGTCCTGCGGAGCAATGCTGTGAAAACATCTGTATGATGATAGTTACTCAGTGGTTTCAGCTCAATGTCACTGGTAGGTTGATCTAGTTGTTGCTTCGAGTCATATTGCTCTATATTATAAGATGCAACTCTCTAAGTATTTTAAAATCCTTAGCTTGCCAGTTTGTTTTAATTTTAAAGCAGCATTTCTCAAACTTTTCACTAACGGAACACTTCGCACATACTGAGTATTTTATCTTAACTTATATAATACAGACGTTACTTTAAAAAAGAAGATGATTACGTCCTACGCATCATGCATATTAACCAATGACCTAAATTCTGAAAAGTCACTGGTTTTCCTGGCTATCTCAGGCAACCCATTCCATGCTCTGATAGCGCTAGGGAAGAAGGAGCATTTGTACAAATTTGTCCTAGCATATGGAAGGAGGAATGTGCCTTTATCTTTGTGTCTCTCTGAGTATTTTATTAGAGTATTTAGTGGATCACTTTGCTTACTTTTTTTTTTTTTTTTGAGAGATTAATTCACGTAGTGGCCTTCTAGTAATTACAGTATTTCGTGGAACACATATTCAGGCCTCGCGGAACAGTAGGCTTCCGCGGATCACAGTTTGGGAAACACTGATCTAAATAAATGATAACTGAGGCAGTGACTTTCAACTTTTTGTCTAACGAAGGCTACAAGAAGTGAACATTTGGAATATGCCCACGTCCCCTTGAATGCAAACGTGGGCTGCATAGCATGCTGGTCATTTCACAATGAGTACGGTACATGAGCATTTGACAAACCCTTCCCATGGTGGCGTATTGTAAATCATTTTTATTAAAACTTCATTTCAAGAGTATAAACAAAAATTATTCTTTCACTCTGTTCCCTTCAAGAACCTGAAACACAAACAACACAAGAGGCTGCTGACTCGTATCCAGTTCAAGGGACATCAGCCTCCCGAACACCTAGTGTTCTTATAGGGCACTCTCAGGAGAGGGATGAAGGCAAGGGAGGTCATCAGAAAGGCTTGTCACTTGGCGTAATAGTTGTCATTGTTTGTGCCGTGGGAGTATCGTCCCTGCTCGTGGCAATCATAGTTGTCCTGTGTTGGCGTAGAGAGATTCTAACAGATATGTTGGCTAAAAGTGAGTTCATTACAACAAGGCATACTTTATAACCATCAAATTGTACATGGACAGTCTATTTACATCAGCATCTTTCAGTATCTCTTCGTTTTTTGAATATAAATTCTTACAGGATCACACTACCACTGGTGTAAGATATTTTTACAAAGTTTAGGCCTATATCTACTCGCTCTGTCTGTCTGGCAAAAAAGTTTGCACACATTATTTCTCCCACTTTACTTATTCACAATCTGGGATCAAGTTGAAGTTTTGGGACAAAAAAGGTGGGGGGGGGGGGGGGGGGGAGTCTATGGCACGTCTTGTTTGAAGTTGATATGAAATGTTAGACCCTCCCCTCCCCCATTTTCCATGAACATCACATAGAAATATATGCTTATAAATAAAAAGTATTTAATAAAAATATAATACAAATAACCTAAGAATGTATTGACTAACTAAAATATCTACAATACTTTTTTTTCGCCTCTCTGCGTGTGGCGTCAGGGGCTTTGTGCTCCACTCCCCCCCCCCCCCCCAATATCCCTCTGGCTCACAGGTCATTTGGCCTTGAAACTTTTCATTAACTAACGAACACACAAAAAATTGTGATTACACTGTCTTTAGGATTCACTTAATAAGACTTTAAAATAATTAACACAGTTTGATATTGAGAAGTCTGACCAAGACTTTAAAATAATTAACACAGTTTGATATTGAGAAGTCTGACCAAGACTTTAAAATAATTAACACAGTTTGATATTGACAGGTCTGACCAAGGAAACATAGAAATACTAAAACAGAATAACCTGCAATTGAAAAGGAATTTTGGTGATAAACTATTTCATTTCATTCTAAATAAATTATGTCCATATTTCATTTGGAAGAATATGTATTTCTAAGGAAATTTCTAAGGAAAGTTTGATTTTTATTATGCTTCCAATGAATGGCATCATGTTTCCTTACAGAAACCTCAAAAGCACCATTACCTGATGTGTACCAGTCTATTGATACTAAGAATGAGACATAGAACCTACAGGTAATTAAGAAAGTACTAACTTTTAAAAAAAATGTAAGCATATAATAATTGTAACATTTCACAAATCAAAATCTTTTTTTTTTCAGACCAAGATCAAACCTTGAAAATAACAGCGAAAACACAATTTTTGGAAAGAAAAGTCAGCGGAGGCAAAGAAGACTGCCTCACAAACTTCTAGCCAGTCTAAATTACAGGGACAAATCAATTTCACAGATATTGGTTTTATTCATAATGTTGTGTCAAACAAAACATTTGTTTTAAAAATAATTTCCTTTACTGAAATGTACCAAGGTATATGTTTGTAATTTTATTTAAATTTACCTTTTTTTAAAAGTAGTTTAGAACATCTTATACTGATGAGCACACCCCCAGACCAAATTTAATAAGTGAGCTCAGCTACAATTACTAAATTATTTTATTTCTGCTAATTAATACATTTGAAACTCACATCACTACCAATCATTAGGTTGGAAACTCATATGCCAAAACACATTAAATTAGGAACTAACATAACTACTAATCATAAAGTTATAAATGGCCATAATTACCAATCATTTAGTTGGGACGTAATGCTACTATCCATCATTAAGTTGGATCTTACAAAAGTATCAATTATTAAGCTGGGAACTGACATAACTACCAATCATTAAGTTGTGAACTAACACTACCACCACTCATTAAGTGGGGAACTTACATTATTATCAATCATTAAGTTGGGAAGTAACAACACTACCACTACCAGTCATTTCATCCCTAAGTAGGGAACTTACATTTACCCATCATGTTTCTACAAATCATCAAGTTTGGAACTAACATTTCTACAAATCATCAAGTTTGGAACTAACATCTCTACAACTCATCAAGTTTGGAACTAACATCTCTACAACTCATCAAGTTTGGAACTAACATTTGTACAAATCATCCAGTTTGGAATCAACATCTCTACAAATCATTAAGTTTGGAACAGTTTTAAAAATGTTTTGTTTTTTTGTATAGTAAAAAAAGTAAAGTTCCCTTTTCCGACCATGTGATCTAAAGGGCAGATGATGTTAAGGACATCTGTTTCTGTGGCCAATGCTTAACAAGCAGGGTGTCTTGTGGCCAGCACAACCACCAACCACCTTTACTTTCCCCAATATAAGTCAGTTCTCTCACTTCCAGTTCTCAGAAATATAAGTCAGGTACCCATTAGAGTTGGCTGGACTCAGGGGCGCCCTAAAAATTCAGAAATTGAAAATCCCAGTCCTCACAGAGATTCAAACACAGGACCCCATGTTCAGAAGCCAATGTTCACTAATGTTATCAATAAAATAAACTCAAAAAAAAAAGAAAATAAACACAGCAGAGATCAACTGCTCCATTTCCATTCTTTTAATTGCACTTAAAACTCTCTACTTACTTAACATAGAGTTTTAGATGTTGCTCAAACAATCATAAAGTTAGATCTAGCTGATGGCAAGACAATGCAATAGACCTAGCTATTTTTTACAAGTGGTTTACTATGTTAGTCTTATACTATAATTAAAACATATAGCAGATACATTTGTTACACATTCAACTATACAGTAAGTGAAGCATTTCCCAATATCCTACATTTCCTTCACATCCTATAGATTTAGCTATCAAACTTCCATCAGCCAATTCTCTACAGAGTATCCAAAGAGATAAATGAAGATCACATTCAGGAAATGAGAGACACCATAAATCCCATCAGACTGATTCCTAGAAGCTTCTTTGACCATTTTGTCTGAGAAAGTTTATTTAAATACAATAAGGAAAAGTAGATGCATACAACTGAAACATGACTAGTAGAACCAGAGGCGTAATAAGCTAGATGTGCGCCGGGGGAAATTTTATTGGCGCCCCAACCCCCACCTTCCCATTTTCCATGAACATTACATAGAAATATAGGCTTATAAAGAAAAAGTAATTAATAATAATATTAACCTTAGCATGTATTACCTCACTAAAATATCTACAATAATTTATATTTTTTGGCACCTCTCTGCATGTGGCGCCCCCGGGGGAATCTTGCCCCCCCCCCCCCCCCCCCCCCACACTACGCCTCTGAGCAGAACAATATGAATTTGTAATATTTACTAAAGAAAAGGAGTAGATCTATAACAACTTTTATATTTATACAGTCAAAACATTGATGTAATAAATGTGATGCTTGTCAAACTTGACTGCAAGTAGCGGATACCAAGCATGTAGGGACGGATGATTTTTTAAACAAATCTAATATTCTTTAGTTATTAAGAAAAAAAAATGATTGCTCTATACTTTGTATAAAGCAGGGTATTGTCTGTAAAAAAAAGTTTTTTTTTTCTGTTTTTCTTGTTTAGCTGTCATATCTTTTCATAGTCAAGCCATTTTACTACATGCATGATTTATTTCTTTGATTTATGCTTGATGTAAATATTGTTTATCTTTGGAGTAATTATTTTATTGAATTGAATTTGAAAATATTAAACTCTCAATGAATTGCATTCCACACTGTGGGTGGAGTTGTTGTTTATGGTTGCGTAATGTCTGAGAATGTCTATTTCCTCTCTTCTAGCTTCATAAAGCTTTGTATTAGGTTTCTCTATTTCCTCTCTTCTAGCTTCATAAAGCTTTGTATTAGGTTTCTCTATTTCCTCTCTTCTAGCTTCATAAAGCTTTGTATTAGGTTTCTCTATTTCCTCTCTTCTAGCTTCATAAAGCTTTGTATTAGGTTTCTCTGTCTATTTCCTCTCTTCTAGCTTCATAAAGCTTTGTATTAGGTTTCTCTGCTGTAGTTTCTTAATTCTTATCACAAACACTGAGTTTAGTCTGTGTGTTATTCAAGTGTGACACCACCCAAACTGCAAATTTTGTGTTACTTTGGGAAAAAAAATTAATAGCATATGAACAACACAACAGATAATATTTGCAGTAGAAAATTGATCATACAAATTTGATATTTAGAATATGCGATACTAATATATGAATTTTTTTTTCAAATCTGGTATTATAGTAGAACATCAACATGCTATTCATCCAAGTCAAAACATTTGAAAGGCATCTTAGAAAATAAGCAAAATAAAATAAAGGTTGATAGATGTTTGGAAAGTCAATAGAACAAAGATGAAGAATATTCAGATATTGATATACTTCATCACCATTTTTTGATCCAACAATCCTTACTTCTAAGATAAATGTCAAAATCATCCTCACTCCCATGTATCTAATTATCAAAATTATTATAACCTTTTAATAGTTAAAACTTGATAAAACTAGCACCAGACAAAACAATTTCATACATTTTTCTCTGACCTCTATTAAAAGCAGCAGGTTCTCTTGTTGCTGCACCATTGATTCTCATTAAATAAAAAGTAAAGTATCCCTTTCAGATGATGTAAAGCTCATCTGTTTCTAGTGCTGATTTTTTAATGAGGGTGTCATGTGGCTAGCACAATGACCAACTCCCTTTACTTTGCCCAGCTTGTGCCAGGCGCCCATTAAAGATGGGTTAAGGGTAATCTAAAAATCCTGAATTTAAAAAAAATGAACATCACAGGGATTAGAACCACAGACACCCATGTCGCCTTACCAGTTAGCCACTACGCCCCCTATTTTATCATACCTAATGGTGCAGTCTTATTGATTCTCTTACCTCTATTTAATGCTCCTTGACCTAATTGTGCTATACTATTGATTACCAACATTTCTGACATAACACTTGAACATAAAACCTGGCACTTTTTACTGGTTTCCCTTGGGTCATCCACAAAACAAATGCACTGGTCAGTTATGTTGGCCAATAGGTCAATCACTTGGATCTAGATGAAAGAATAATAAAAAAAACAATGACCCACCATCACAACGTTATGGGATACTTTGAAACAAGAGAAAATAACTCTTGGTCATGATGAAACGACAATATTTTCATTCTTTGGGGATTGGTTTTAACAGCCATGAGTCATAGAATCATTACCAAATAGCTGTCAATTCTTCAAGAGTATATTAGACCCACAACTTTTCTTCATTTACACTAATGACCTGTCCAGTTGCAAAAGCTGTGAATAAAAAATCTAGACTATTTGCAGATGATCTTATTGTAGTAAATCTGATGGTGACACAGATGTGAGTAGTGCTATGTGTGGATTCAGCCGACGCAAATTGCTCTAAGCCAGCAGGGCTAGACAAATGGTCAACTGTGACTAGTCAAGACGATCAACTGCAATGACAGGCAAAGCTTGAAGAAACATCTAGAGTGAATACTACTCAGACCAGGCACGTGGGATGTGGTCATGTGTTAAAACGAAGTGGGAGACTGCTGTCAATCAAAACAAGAACGGAGCGGTACAAAAACTCGTTCGTACCTCACTCGGTCAGACTCTAACACCGCCACTCATTGATCAGGGAACATGAAATGCACCAGGATACCTGTGTGTAGTCGCTGAATGAACTCTTTATGTTGTCTGTTGTATTTGTGTGTATTTTTCTGTTGTGTTGTCTTTATATGAGAAAAGAGTCCTTGTAATCACAACAAATTTCCGTAAGGATCAATAAAACAGTCTTAGTCTTAAAAGAAGGGTCAAGCAATGTTCCGTCCGGTTCTAGAAGACCAGTGGAAACACTATATTAAGAGCGGAGCTGTCACAATTAAGACTGTCAAGAACAGTCAAGACACCTCACTATTACGAGACAGCCTCTTGATCTGGATCTGCGATCGTGTCCGACACAAGGAGCCCAGTGTGTGAAGTTAGTCCAGAACAATTGAACCTAGTGCAAGTCCGGGACAAGGCGGAGATGCCAGTGCAAGAGTTGATATGGGGGTTTGGTTTTTAACAGAGAAATAGTTATCTTATCTTCTTATCTTATCTTATATAATACAGACGTTACTTCAAAAAAGAAGATGATTACGCCCTACGCGTCATGCATTTAGTCATGCATATTATAAACCAATGACTTAAATTCTGCCAAGTCACTGGTTTTCCTGGCTAGCTCAGGCAACCCATTCCATGCTCTAATAGCACTAGGGAAGAAGGAGTATTTGTATAAATTTGTCCTAGCATATGGGACGAGGAATGTGCCATTATCTTTGTGCCTTTCAGAGTATTTTATTAAATTTTGTTTTTGTATTTGAAGATTATGGTTCAGTGTTTTATGTATAATTGCTACTTTACTTTTGAGTCTTCTGTCCTGAAGGCTTTCTAAATTTAGTGATTTTACTAAAGGTGTTACTCTGGTTAAGTGTGAATATTCGTTTGTTATGAATCTCACTGCTCTATTTTGTGCCTGTTCCAGTTTCTTAATGTTATCTTGAGTTGAGGGGTCCCAAACGGAGGATGCATATTCTATTATTGGCCTAACCAAGGTTAAATAACATTTTAGTTTTATGTTCTTATTTGATTTATAGAAATTTCTTTTAATAAATCCTAATGCTTCGTTTGATTTTTTTTATAGTTTCATCAATATGTGGATTCCATGACAGTTTTTCATTTATTATAACACCTAGGTATTTTGCGTTTTTAGTCTGTGGTACTGGTTTGCCATGAATAAGTGGAATTAATTTGTTTTAGTTTTTTTGTTACTCTTAACAACTGACATTTTTCTGGGTGGAAAGACATGCTCCTATTTGATTCCCATTTCTGTAATTCATCTAATTTTCTTTGTAAAATATCTGTGTCTTGTGTTGTTTTTATTGTTCTTTATATTATACAATCGTCTTCAAATACTCTTTGTCCAGACTGTGTTACTTGTTAGCAAATGAACAGTATTGGTTGCGATTTATTGGACATTAAACTGTAATGTTATTTTAGAGCCCAGAGTTATCAAGTTTTTAAAGTTGGTAGTGTCATGTGCCGCAGTTGCAGAGAGCCTGAATAGTGAGAACCATTACAATGTAGCATAAAACATGATGAAGCCAATGGGTGATATTGAACTATTCTTCTTCTTCTTCTAGCCAGCGTTATTGCTGCTGAGCCGTGAGCTCTTTTGCAGACTGTGCCAAGGAAAAAAAGTGTGCTGTTTTCTTCAGTTGTTCAGCACTGCCGTACAGGGTGTTGGTTATGTTGGGCTGTAGTGGAAGTAGGGTCTGCCTAAGGTGGATTAGGGAGGAGCATTCAAATAGGATATGGTTTACTGTTTCAAAGGGGTGGGCGCAGTGTCTGCAAAGGGGGAGTTGTGTGGAGTTTATTTTGTTCAGGTAGTAATTTAATAGTAGTGTGTGTCCTGTTCTTAGTTGGAAAATTGTAGATTGTTCTTTGCGGGGGAGGAAGTTAATACTGTCCAGTTTGTTAGGCGTAGTCATTTCTTTGTACATGGCTCTGCCTATGTTTCCTGATGCCCATTGGTTGAGCCACTCCTCCTTGTGATTGTTGACTAACATTGACCTTAGGGTGAGGTAGTTAACAGGTCTATCTGGTTGTTCCATAGATGAACCTGCCTTTGATAGCTTAATATTGAACTATAAAAAAGAGGAAGAGTTTCAAATATCTGAATGGAATTGAAAACATCTTTCCACCCAGAAAAATGCACATTTAAAGAGTAACATATTCCCTGTTTCTTTATTTATATAAATATACTAATAACAAAAAAAAACAACTTTGGCATTAAAATAATTAGAAAGCTACTTATCAAAAACTGTTATGATCAAATAACTTTTTAAAGTTGTACAAGTCATAAGGGTTTATTAATTGGAATTATTTAATGAGTCTCCCCATGAACCAATACTAGAAAATGCATATGCATGAGCTGTGCTGGGGAGTCTTGAAAGAAATTAGAACAATACCAATAGTGCAACCTTGTGAGTATCACTACAATGAATAGTCATACTTAACAAAATTAACCTCATTGGTACTATTACTAAACTTAGGAAACTTTAGGACAAAAGACTAAAAAGTAAAGAAGTTCTATTACATGCAAACACTGAATTAATTTTTTTTTTATACATCACATCATTCATGCTATTAGCATGTACAGTGCAGTCTCTTTTGTGGACCAGTGGTATCTGGGAGAAGGTATCTGGGAGAAGCTAATTGGCAGAACGTATCTGGGAGTAGCTAATAGGGAGAAGCAAATTGCAAGAAGGTATCTGGGAGAAACTAATTGGGAGAAGGTATCTGGGAGAGCCTAATTGGGAGAAGGTATCTGGGAGAGCCTAATTGGGAGAAGGTATCTAGGAGAACCTAATTGGGAGAAGGTATCTGGGAGAAGCTAATTGGGAAAAGGTATCTTGGAGAAGCTAATTGGGAGAAGCAAATTGCTAGAATGTATCTGGGAGAAGCTAATTGGGAGAAGGTATCTGGGAGAAGCTAATACGGAGAAGGTATCTGGGAGAAGGTTTCTGTGCTGCCTTAAAACGCTCGGCAAACACAACTCTACTTGAGTCAGGATTTGAACTCAAGCCCCTTTGTTAGGTGGCAAAGTGATTTTGGCCTCCAAGCCCCACATCCCTCTAATCTTAATGAAAGCATGACAGATAAGATATCCATGACTAGGAATCTTTAACCCTTATTTGCCCTTTAGCCCTTATTTGTTCCTTGTGGTGTGAAGTTGTGAATGTTGGTATTTTGAGATATTTGAGTATTTGGTGTTTTTTTTTGTTGGTATGTGCTCTGG